GATGTTGCTGTTTGGTTGACTGCTAACATGTTTACACAGACATGAATATATGCGCATAGGCATACATACACTCACACAGACGCAATTGCTATGTAAATGTGCAATTATACACCATTTACGTGAGTTCGAATACCGAGAAAGGTAAAATCGATCACATTTTTTTTTTTAATTTTCTTAATTTTTTTTCTTTTCTATAATTATTGTAAACATATGTACAGAGTATTTCAAAGGGACACCCGACTTTAGCTTTTTTACTTGTTTTTGTTTTGATGAGGAGTGTACCTGCACCGGGTTTTCATTAATAACTTTATGCAGCAACAACAAATATCAAATAGTTGGGGACATCACATACACACACCCACACACACAACAAGCAACAGTTCGTGTCTATGTGTGCGGTTCTCTACGTACGGTTGAAAAAGTAAAGAGAAACATACATATGTATGTATGTATGTATGTATGCCTGTGTATGAATATAGCATGTATGTACATTCGTATTAATGTATACATTGGGCAATCGAACACAGTTGTTTGATTGTAAAAAATATAATGCTCTAAAAACAACAACAACTGCAAGTCATTGGCTCGCTCTTCTTCTTTCGTTGTGACCATTTAATGTTAATTGCAAAGGCAGAACGCCAAAAGTTTAAAGTTACCGTCGCTAGGCAACGACTGCGTAAGCGATAGTAAAGCAGAAACCGAATAACGGACCTACGCATATTCTGCTTCGCATTGCGGGCAGATGTATGTATGTATATGATTTGTTCTTATCGATGTCAATAAATAATTGGATTTTATTATTTAAATATTCTGCTTATTGCATTCAAGCTTCGATATTTTGATGGTATCGGTGGCTTCAACTATCGAAAGTTTTACTCTAGCAAATTGAGATGAGAATTTTCAGTGCTTTTTGATCGTGGCTCATCGCTGCACGGCCTTGACACGAGTGCCGTGTTTCATATTCCGAGGTTGTGCGTGACCGTATTGACTCAATATGGCACGAAAAGACTCAAATGTGAATTTCCAAATTTTAGTTCGAAATTCCAAGAATTACGGGAGTAACGATTTGCGGTGTAGAGGGGGGAGGGAGGGAAATTCCAAAATATACATTTTCTGCGTATTCACATAAGGCATCTGGGACTAAAATTTGGTGACCATAGGTGTTATAGTCTCCGAGATATAGGCGATAATACGAATGGAAAATCGGGAAAACCCCCATAGGGGGGAAGTGGGGGGGAAAATCAAAAAAATAAAACAAACTCGTATAGAATACACACATAACGCATCTTTGTGCAAAATTTGGTGTCTCTATCTCTTATGGTCTCTGAGATCCAGGTGTTCATACGGACGGACAGACGGACAGACTGACAGACGGACAGACAGACAGACAGGGCTAGATAAACTCGTCTCGTCATGCTGATCAAGAATATATATACTTTGTGGGGTCTGCCACGCCTCCTTCTGCCTGTTACATTTTTCAGCTCCCGCAAACCTAATATACTTCTGTACATTTCATGTACAGAGTATAATTATTTTTAAATTATTATTTTACAAAAATTATTTTATACCTATGGAAAAAAAACGAATTGATGGGGAGTGGGGCGTGCATCAGAAAAAAACACAAACTCATCCTTTCTCGGACTTGGGAGAATCTAGATAGCAAATTTGGCTGCACTAGCTCGTATAATTTCTGAGATCCTTGCGTTCATACAGACGGACGGGCGGACAGACGGACATAGCTATATCGACTCATCTTGTCATCCAGATCGAGAATATATATACTTTGTGGAGTCTGCCACGCGTCTTTCTATGTGTTACATACATTGTCACAAAACTAGTATACCCTTTTACCCTTTGGGTATAGGCTATAAAAAATATACGTTGTGTAAAAACTTTTGACCACCACTGTAAATGTAGTTACCGTTCAGTACGGCGTACTCTGAACTAGTGAAAATATCATCACTAATTCTAACTTCATGTTTTGCATCATTTCGTTTTTACACACGATGTCATAGGAATTGGTCAATTTCCGCCACCTCACATGCTACGTACCAGTTATACATAATATACTAGCAGGTATTGCCCGTCTTAACCCGGCTCAATATGTTTCCAATTGTATTTATTTTGTGTGTGCATAACCTACCCATATGTTTTCACCTTAAAGGTTACCAGTAGGAAGGCATTTAAGGTATTTAAATGAACATTTTCTGTTCTTGACAAAAAATTGTTCAGTAGTCCGTTACATTTTTGTTCTTGACAAACTATTTCGTTAAACGAACATGACCACTATAACTAATATTTTTTAAAGCTGGTTTCCCCCCCATTGGAGCTAGAATTTTCCAAAAGCCTTTCTTAGTGTGCTTCTACACTATGATGGATACTATGAAACGATACTTGAGTCCAAATTTAAATTCACATTTGAGTCTTTTCGTGCCATATTGAGTCAATACGGCCACGCACAAACTCGGAATATGAAACACGGCACTCGTCAATGCCGTGCAGCGATGAGCCACGATCAAAAAGCACTGGCACCGATACCATCAAACTATCGAAGTTTGAATGCAATAAGCAGAATATTTAAATAATGAAATCGAATTATTTATTGAGATCAATAAGAACAAATCATATACATACATACATACATCTGCCCGCAATGCGAAGCAGAATATGCGTAGGTCCGTTATTCGGTTTCTGCTTTACTATCGCCACTAACCATACAACATATGTTGTATGGTTAGTGCTATCGCTTACGCAGTCGTTGCCTAGCGACGGTAACTGTAAGATTTTGGCGTTTTGCCTTTGCAATTAACATTAAATGGTCAAAACGAAAGAAGAAGAGCGAGCTAATGACTTGCAGTTGTTGTTGTTTTTAGAGCATTATTTTTTTTACAATCAAACAACTGTGTTCGTTTGCCCAATGTATACATTAATACGAATGTACATACATGCTATATTCATACACAGGCATACATACATATGTACATATGTTTCTCTTTACTTTTTCAACCGTACGTAGAGAACCGCACACATAGACACGAACTGTTGCTTGTTGTGTGTGAGTGTGTGTATGTGATGTCCCCAACTATTTGATATTTGTTGTTGCTGCATAAAGTTATTAATGAAAACACTAATGCCAAATGCACTAAACAAAGAAAAAATTACTTTTAAAAATGTTATATAATTTTCAATTAATTAACATTTCTTGCTCTGTCAGTGCAAGACGAATGTACATACATACATACATACATATGTAGATACATTTGTACATACATAGATGTGCACATACATATGTATCTATGGACATTCACACATTAGTGTCTCACATTTTTCTTTGGCTATTTCAATCGTTTGCACGCAACTACACGAACAGCTGTTTGTATGTGTGTGTGTGTGTGTGTGTATGTATACTTAGTTGTCCCCAACTGTTTGATATTTTGTATTGTTTGTTCTGCCTGCTTTTGTAAAATGCATATTTTGAAAATCCTTGAATGCAAAGTTGTAGATTTAGTTACGTAGATTACATTATCCAAATTTTAAATCGATCGGACTAAATTTATAACACAAACTTTTCATTTGAAATAGTGAATAAATATTAAAACCCCAATAATTCAAGCTCCAACAAAAAATTTAAAAAACCGAGTATGCAGTTTTGTTTGTATTCTTTAATTGATTTTAGAAACTAAGTTTTAAGTCGATCGGTTGAAAAGTGCGGATTTTTCAAACAAACTTTGGAGCTATTTTTCCCCCCTTTGGAGCTCGAATTTTCCAAAATCCCTTCTTAGTGGGGACCTAGACTATGAAAGGATACTTGAGTCCAAATTTCAGCTTCCTAGCCTTTACCGTTTGGGCTATGCGTTGATCACCAATCAGTCAGTCAGTCAGGACAAACTGTTTTATATATATAGATATATGTATATATGTAATTGATCAGTTTGAGCGCAAGTTTCTCGACAAAGTATAAAAGTTAGAAAAACCAAACTTTGAATCCAGATTCTCCTAAGCCCGAGAAACGACCATTGATCTTTCATAACTTCCGTAATCCTTTGAATTCTAAATACTGCCCTTGCTATATTTTGAACACCGAATTGGAGACAAGAAAGTACTCGCAAAGTTGGGTGTCGCGTTTGCTCACTTTTGATAAAAGCGTGTTTGAATGAACTGTTGCAAGTCTCCTCCAAAAAAAGCCCAATGGTTTTTAAAACTGTTATGTCTTTGTCAGACTTGAAACATTTCGCACTGTCCTCGTATACGTTTTATCGTTATAAAAACCACATCCATCAAGCTGACCATTTATGTACCTTTAACACATCGTACGTCTGGTTGACTGTGTAGTCAAATTAGAAAATGTCCGTATTTAGTGTAGCCAGAGTCTTCAGTTGTGAAAATTTGGCAGGCTAGTGAATCTTCTACGAGCCCTAACCACTATTTATTGGTACTGTGACGTTTTTTCGATAGTGCAACTTTTAATGACTTATATTTCTTGCCCAAACATAAGTATTTATACTTTTTAAAAATGTTTTGAATTACCTGTAATTTCATATCAAACATGCACACATTTCACATAACAATAATGCAAAAAATCAATTTAAATAAGGCAATTTCATAATACACACATAATACATTCATAATACAGCGTGACAAGACGAGTCGATCTAGCCCTGTCTGTCTGTCCGTCCGCCCATCCGTCCATATGAACACCTGCATCTCAGAGACTATAAGAGATAGAGACACCAAATTTTGCACAAAAATGCCTTATGTGTGTACGCTGTGCAAGTTTGTTTTATTTGTTCGATTTACCTCCAGTTAGTGATTATAAGTCTGCATGCTAAGTTTCATTATGAGAGGTTTCATTACGTGAGTTCGAATACCGAAGGAGGTAAAATCGATCCTTTTGCATGAAAGATTTCATTATATTGTATAAGTTTTTATTTGTTGCGCACTGTTAGAATATATTTAATAACATTATTTTATATTTGGTCAAATTTGTCTTTTTCTAACAGTGAAACTTATGGAACGTGCCTTATACTAGATGGAATAATTCAATGTACATCCAGAGATGAATTTTCCTACCAAGAAATGATTGGATTTCTTCCGTTGTGTTGCCATCCTAACCCGCAAAAAGTTTTAATTGTTGGAGGAGGTGATGGTGGAGTAGCTCGTGAAGTCGTTAAACATCCATTGGTCAAAGAAGTTCATCAAGTTGAAATTGATGAACGGGTTGTGGAACTATCGAAAAAATATTTACCATCCATGGCATGCGGCTTTGAAAATTCGAAATTAAAACTTACTATTGGTGACGGTTTCGAATATATGAAAATACACAAGGAGGAGTTTGATGTGATCATCACAGATAGCTCAGACCCGATCGGGCCTGCAGTTTCATTGTTTCAGGAAAACTACTATAAATTAATGAAAAATGCTTTAAAGCCGGGTGGTATTGTTTGCTCTCAAGGTGGAAGCTTCTGGCTTGATTTTGATTACGTAAAAAAAACTATGGATGGGTGCGGGAAACATTTTGCAAAAGTAGCCTATGCAGTAACTTCAGTTCCTTCTTACCCATGTGGACACATAGGTTTCGTAATTGGGTCTCTAGATCCTAATCAAAATTTCTCAGAGCCAGTAACAAGGTTCACTAAATCTCAAATTGATTCTTTAAACTTAAAATATTATACAAGTGAGGTTCATCCAGCAGCATTTGCTTTACCACGCTGGGTAGAAAAACACTTTTACAAATAAAGTATGTAATATGTACTTTATGCAAATTTAACCATATGTATACACTTCATGAGATATACATTTTTTTAAAGTCAGTTATATTTTTGTACATAACTATTAGAGTTTTAAAAAATATATAAATAAATGATCCATCTTCAACGTGTCAAATTATTGTTTAATAAATATCATGGAAATAATATCAATGCTGCGCCCTGTGCGTTGCTACAAGCGTCGCTTCATCGATTTTATAAAGGCGCAATTTTTTTGCATAAGGTGGAATAGTTCGGAATATAATCATCAAACTCATAGATACATAATTACATATTCAAACGCAAAATATAAGTAAGCAAAACAACCAGCTAATTTAAGAGGATGTAGTTGTAATTTACATTTAAACGTAGCCATCATTAATGATTAGAATGTTATTTAAATAGAATTCGGTTATTATTTGCTTGATATAGTGAGGTGCCACTTCGTTAACATTGGAAACGGTATACCGGTGTTGTTAGCACACAATGTGCCTGACAGGGCGGTGCCTCGCCAAACCCAGGTACAACCCTTATCGATTCTAGAAAGTGTGCGCTTAACGTTTCGATGTCCCAACGAAACTCATAGCATTGTTGGAGTGGATCTGCTGGGGGCATTGTCGTCGTAGGAACTTTTCGGTGTTCAGATCGGATGTGGCTTACAGGAGGATCACCTTCGAGCAGAAGCAAACAAAGACACACACATAGCCTTTAGTTATGAGACAGGCTGTGACAGAATGGCGCTCGTCGGTTGCGGCCGCATACTAGAATGATCCTTTGGTCGTCCTTGAACGGGTTCATGTTGAGGACTTTACTTTCATTCCGGTTGGTCAAGGCGTTGTGTTTCTGTGCGTAAAGTCGGGTTTTAAATTCCTCTGTACATATGTTTAGAATAATTATAAAAATTAAAAAAATTAAGAAAATTAAAAAAAAAAAAATCGATTTGCCTGTCTCGGTATTCGAACTCACGTAAAGGGTGTATAATTGTACATTTACAAAGCAATTGCGTCTATGTAAATTTATGTATGTCTATGCGCGTCTATTCGTTGTGTCTCTAGCTCTCATAGTCTCTGATATCTACTTAGGTATTCATACGGATAGACTGACAGACAGGGCTAGATCATGCTGATCAAGAATATGTATACTTTGTGGGATATATTATATATATAATGTAATATATAGAATATATTATATTCGCACTAAACTAGTATACCCTTTTACTCTTTGGGTACAGGGTATAAAAAAATAAAAATAATACAAGCGAATTGATAACCTCCTCCATTTTTGAAGTCGGTTAAAAACATAACGAATGCCAAACTTGTAAATTGTGGCCCACTTTTGCAAATAAGCAACGAGCGCATACTTTACATATCTGTGTACATATGTAACGACAGATTTTGCGACTATTTACTAATGTCGATATAGCCATGTCCGTCCGTCCGTTCGTCTGGACGAGTGCAAGGATCTCAGGAAGTACAAGAGCTAGAATAACCAAACTTGGTATCGAGGTTCCCCTAAGTTCTAGGCAGGTCAAGTTTATTTTTTTTATTCTGATTCACCCCCATTCCCCCGCAATTCATTTTCCTTAACTCCCGTAATTCTTGGATCTTTCGAACTAAAATTTGGTAACTACATACCGTTAGTGATTATGTGTCTGTATGCCAAGTCTCATTATGATAGGTCAATTCTGAAGAAAGTTATAGTCATAAATAAAAAGGCTGCCCATGCTCTGCTTGTAGCTCTGGCCGCAGCGCTGCCCGCAGCTGTTGTTGTTGTTGCTGCTTTGGTTAAGCTTTGTGCTGCATACAGACACGCATATAAACACGCTGAGACACGATTCTGATATAAATGTATGCGGCTGAAACTGTACATGAACATGTCTCCACTGAACATGTCTCCATGCATTGAATAATTTGTATTTAATTTAATTAAATAATTTAGTTAATATATAATTTTAAAATAATTTTTTTGGTGGGAGGTACAGAGTTGAGCTCGCTCGACTTTAGCATTCCTTTCTTGTTTTAGGTATCGCCAAGTATCTGTTTTGAATTGCGTCGGTTGGTTGGCAGGACAAACGAAGTCGCGTGCTGTCTTAAGCAAGTTAATGCATAACAAACACGACATGTTTATTTTTTTGATAAATCTAATAATAATTGAAATTAAAAAATCTTGATGTTTTTAAAAGGAAAGTCAAAATCTAGGAGATAACGAAATACATTTAATACTTGTCAATTTATTGTAAAAAAGAAACAAAAACAAGATAGAACGTTACAGTCGAACAAAGCCCGACAGTAAAATGTTCGTATGTCGATTTCACATCGCATAGGAACATTTAATAAATAAATAAATAAATAAAATACCCTGTACCCTCCACAAAAAAGGAAATATTAAAAAAAAATTAATTAAATTTAAAAAAAACCTTCAATGCATACATACATACAGAAGTGAAGACATGTTTATATACAATTTCAACAGCATGCATTTACATCATCGTGTCTATGCGTATATGTATGCGTACTGGAATAAGTCACAGCAGCAACAACAACAACAGCTGCGGGCAGAGCTTCGGCAGAGAGTATATTTATGGCTATAACTTTCTTCGTTAATTATCGTAATGTAACTTGGTATACGGACTCATAATCATTAAGTGGAGGTATTTGCCAAATCTGACAAAATTCCAAAATTACAGGAGTTATGGAAAAAACACGAATTGCGGGGGAGTGGGGGGCGTGTATCAGAAAAAATAAACAAATTTGATCTGCTTAGGGCTCAGGAGAACCTGAATACCAAGTTTGGTTAATCTAACTCCATGTACTTGCTGAGATCCGTGCGTTCATATAGACGGACATGACTATATCTACTCGTCTTATTATCCTGAAATTATATACATCCTGAAAATATATATACTTTGTGGGGTCTGCCACGACTCCTTCTGTGTGTTACACACATTCTCATAGAAGTATACACTTTCACCCTTTGGGTACAGGGTATAAAGATCGTTTTCAAAATGTCGTCAAAACGTAGCAAGCAAATGCATAGCACATCGGAGGAATTTGATTCCAGCAAATCCGATGCATTATTGCAAGCACGCACAAATGTGCCATTTTTTCATTTTCGTTCATCAGCTGTGCTTGCATACGGACGTGTTTTTCAATCGCTGCGCCAAAAATTGTTTAAGTTGTGTACGTACACAGTGCAAATAATTGCGAGAAGTAAAATAACGTTCTTCATAGAAAATTCTGGTGTTCAAATAAATTAAAGGAATCTTTAATAAAATCACAAATTAAATAAAAGTACATTCAAGCGCGAAAAACCAATCTATACAAACACATAGATCGACACCAACACCGAGACACTGAGCTATAACCTTAATTGTATTAACGCTCAATAATCACTAAAAAAAAATCTCTCATCTGTGCTCAACAAACCACTCAATAAAACACAAACGAAAACTTACACTGAACAACATGGCACCTCAGCCCAACAAACGCGCACGAGAAAACACCGTCACTGACCTTAAGGAGGGCCGCCAGTCAGAGGGAATCTCGGCAAAGATAATGGCTACAATAAACCTGCGTTTTGAGGAGCAGGCCAGCCTCATCACTGCCAATATGGGAGATGCTGAGCAGCGCATCCTAAACGTGCTGCTGGAGCGTTTCGACCGCATGGCAGAAGAGATGAAGCAGCTACATGTCAGGGTGGATCAGCTTCATGTGCGGGTGGATAATATGGAGCGCGAGGTCGGAGTGTTGTCCACGCTGAGGGAGCGGGTTGGAGTGCTGAAGGCGAAGCTCGCTGCGCAGCTCAATGCCAATGCTGCCTGCGACTTGCGCATACACGGCGTCCCTCACATGGAGGGGGAAAATGTGCGTACTTTGTACAACACGCTGTGCTTCGCCATCGACACTACACCACCGCCTAGGATACGGGAAATTTTTCGTGTTCGAAATAAGCAGGTAGCAAATGTTGATCCCGATATCATTATAAAATTTGAAAATTTTAATGAAAAAGCCACGTTGCTGAAGGCAAAGCAAGAAAGCACTAAGCTTAGAAATGCTGGGCTTTGACTCTCCAGCCCCCATTTACATTAATGAGCAGCTGACTAGAGACAACTACATAATCTTCAAAGAGGCGATAAAGCTTAAAAAACAGAAACGTCTTGTGGCTGTGTTCTCACGTAGAGGCATAGTGCACGTGACGCTTAGGGAGAACGAGAGTGCGCAGCCCATACAAAGCAGGGACGAGCTTTTACAGCTGTCTCACCATAATGAGAGTGGATTTCGCTCTCCCACTGCCTTTAACTCTGCGGTGTAAACATATGTTAGCTTTTAATATTAATATAAGTTTTAGGTTTAGTTTTTGGATAAATTGTTTTTGTAATATTTGTTTTCTTGTAAATGTTAATGTATTAATAGTGTGCAGATCATCTGTTAGTGCTCTTGATCGCTGTATAATGCGTGAGCGTATGATTGTTTTATGGACTCAATGCAAGATAACTTAAGATGTGCTTCCACAGCGAACAGTAATTCTATTATTCGGGTTCTATGTAAACAAAAGAATGGTTTACACATATGCCACCTTAACGCGCAGAGCTTAGTCAAAAAAATGGATGAGTTTAGGTATTTGTTTGTTAATTCTAATGTAGACGTAGTTTGTGTATCTGAAACTTGGTTTGTGTCTTGTCTTAATGATAATAATATATGTTGTGATGGGTTTAGAGTTTACCGTTCAGACCGTGTGGGGCATGCGGGGGGTGTAGCTATATATGTTAAAAATAATATCAAAGCTAAAGTGATTTGCAAACAGCCAGTAGACAGCAATATTGAGTACTTGTTTTTGCAATTATCAAACAGTAGAACTATGGAAAGCATATTAGTCGGATGTGTGTATAGACCAAACAGAAACACTGACTACACTGATTTCTTGAGCATTCTCTCCTCTGTATCCCTGAAGCATAACAATATTGTCCTGGCTGGAGATTTCAATAGCAATATGCTTCTTGAACGACATTTAAAGGACGATATGGTGTCTCTTGGCATGAAGCTAGTAAACTCTACAGTACCTACACATTTCTCTAACACCTCTGATACCCTTCTTGACTTATTTTTTGTAAATGACACTGAAAAAATTCTCCTATTTGACCAGTTGTCCGTACCAGCTTTTTCTAAACATGACTTGATTTTCATAACTTACGATATTTTCCTTGACCACACTGACCACTCATTTAGTTATAGGGACTTTAGGAACATTGACCATAGACTACTGTTTGACTTTTGTGATAACTTGAATTTTGATGACATTTACCTAAAACCCACCGTAGACGAGCAGCTCCAACTGTTTAATGACAATGTTGAGCTACTGTTCAATACCTTTGTGCCGCTGCGGAACAAAGTAATCAGGCCTGTAAAACATGAATGGTTTAATAGGGATATCGAATGTGCAATAAAATGCAGGGACGACGCATATAAAAAGTGGAAAAGGTACAAGACAACGGCTCACTTATCGCAATATAAGAAACTGAGACGTAGAGTTGGGCTGAAAATTATGAATGCGAAGCGTGCTCACTTCTCGAAATTTTCATCGGTCACCTCGTTCAGACAAGTTTGGGCCGAAGTTAATAAGTTAGGGATCGGAAAAAGTAGACATTCTTTATGTATTGATGTCGACGTAAATGAACTAAACAACAAATTTGTACAACTAGCAGTACCTGAAGTCCATGAAAATACGTACCTGAATTCTACCTCGTTATTAAACTGTGATACTTCTTTTAGTTTTATGTGTGTACGTCAATGTGATGTCTTAGATGCAGTTCTTAAAGTGAAGTCCAACGCCATTGGCCTAGATGAGTTACACCCCAAATTTTTAAAATTATTGCTTCCGAAAGTCTTAAATTATATAACGCACATATTTAACTCAGTGCTTACGACATCGTGCTTTCCGTACAAGTGGAAATCAGGAAAAATTATTCCTATCCCGAAAGGAAGCAATGACTTCAGGCCAATCACAATTCTACCATTTCTATCAAAAGCACTTGAACACTTGATGACCAAACAAATTAGCAATTACATGGTAGAAAACTCACTCTTGAGTGATAAACAATCGGGCTTCAGAAGTAATAGAAGTTGTATTACATCATTAATTAAAATTACAGACGATATTAGGAAAGAAATGGACGACAGTAAGGTAACTTTCCTAACCCTACTAGACTACTCAAAAGCTTTTGACTCTGTTAATCATAACATACTGTGTACGAAATTAAAAAGACTTTATAATTTCTCTGACTCAGCTACTAATCTTGTCCAGTCATATTTGTCCTGTCGTCACCAAGCAGTAGTTACTTCGCATAATTTTTCGTCTTTTTTTATTCATAAAGCGTGGAGTCCCTCAGGGGTCTGTCTTAGGGCCACTATTGTTCTCAATTTATGTCAATGATCTTCCATGTTGTGTGTCTAATTCCGAGTTACACATGTATGCTGATGATGTCCAGATGTATGTTAGTCGTCCGTTATGTAGAATAGATGAATGTATACGTGTCTGCAATGATGATCTCTTCAAAATCAGCAAATGGGCAAATATTAACGGATTGGAGGTCAACCCTAAAAAGTCAAAATGCTTAGTAATATATAAAAAAAAAAATCAACACACTCAATCTAGAGCAAGTGCGCCTCAACAATGAGCCCATTGCGTATGTAGAGCAGGCAATAAACCTGGGAATAAATATAAACCAAACATTAACTTGGTGTGACCATGTCAATAAGGCAGTAGATAGACTATATAACGCACTAAGGCGCCTGTCTTTGACGCAGAATTTTCTTCCTGTAAAACTAAAGCTCCTTATTGCCAAAACATGCCTGACACCCTTGCTATTTTATGGGATTGAACTTTTTGGATACTGCGATGCAGTAAGTCAAAACAAATTAAAAGTAGCCTTTAATAGCATAGCACGGTACATTTTCAACATTCAAAGAAGACATTCAATAACGACATACACCAATAAAATATTCAATCTGACCCTTGACTCCTGGATTAAGCTTAGAATCCTAATCTTCTTGCACAAAATTATTGCACGTAAGGAACCAAATTATCTGCACAACAAAATTGCTTTCACGATCACGAAATTTAAATTAGCAATCTCGGAAAAACATTTCTTTATTTCTTTAAAAACAATTAGCAGCGAGACGCACTTTAGAGTTAAGATTCTAGTACACTTACAAAACATTAACTAAATTAACGTTACCAAAAATTATAATATTAACGACACACTTAGTTTAGTAGGCAATTTAGATTAAGTATAAACTATCCATTAAACTATCCAATTAAAAATATATAATTATAAAAATAATGAAAATGTTTAATGTGAAAACTAAAACTATGATTAAATTGTAATGACTAGCGTAATAATTTAAAAGTAACCGATACTTGTAACGCTAGGATAAGGTTAATAAATAAATAAAAAAAAAAATAATGCGTGCAAACTGGCCCTAACCCCATGGAGTCTGAGTAGTCTGGCCCCTTAATATATGGTCTCCCCCAATTCAATAAATGGTCTCTACATGGTGGCCATCATTGAACAAAGTTCATCTCTTCTGGACAAAATTTAACGGCAGGCTGAACTCATATCGAATGCACTATGCACCACCAAATGTATTTGTGTTGTCGAACAAGTTCAGGCAACATGCTCGCGTGTGGAAGGCTTGCTTAATACATAAAAAAGAATATACAACAAAAACAATGCAATTGATAAGCAATGGCCCTATTGACGGACCATACATAATAAAAAGAACAATGTTCGAACAATGTTTAATAGTTTGGCATACATACACATAAAATATACTATAATAAGGCATGATCAACACAGCACAATTATACTGACATCAGCATTTATCTATCATACGATCATTGAATTTATATGGATCAAAATTATGTGTCAGCCCGATTGAGCTGACACCAGCATGTGTAAGCATACGATCGATGCTTTCACATGCAGTAATAATAGTTTGGCAATCTAGAAAGCCTACTTTCTGGATCTTCCGGTAATTTGGATGTAGTACTCCAATACACTCCAAATTTCGGCGTACATCAAATGTTGCAGGAAGTGGCTCCAATCAAACAGCCACCAGGTGTGTAGCAAATACATGGAACGTTTCGTATTATGAAGGACATGGGGGAAGAAGTTTGGATAAAAACCAACGAAACGGTATCTGGCGTGAGCCCCTTCGCGCGAAGGTCTCTGGTGACCAGATCCCCACCAAAGTCTGCTTCACCTTCAGCACCCTTTCAGAGCTTTCCGCTTCTGTGTTCACCTGCTGCATCTCTTAGTTCATTTCATTTGAGCCAATTCATTTGAGCCAACGAATACCCCATTTTCAACACTCTTGGCAATGCCTTTGCCGATAACTATTGTCCAGGCAGAGATGCAGTCGGTGCTCCGGATTTTCGAATTTCAATATAAGCACTACATCAACCAATAGAACAAGGAGAATTTTTCTGAGATGTGGTGCACATTTCGATATGCAACAAGAGTGGACATGCATTGGAGAGAAGCCACCATGAAATGGGCTTTCAAACTGCAGAGCCCTGGTTAAAGCGTCGAGCCACCCCCAAATAGGCACCCCTAAAAGACACCCACAAAGCGCGTGACGTAGCCACAGGACTTTGCGTAGGCAGTGAAGGGAAATGGGAACCCTCCTGCCACTATTCCCGTTTCCAAGGCCGATACATGGACGAAGGACCAGCCCGACACGACCGAAACCCTGCAGACCATATGCCATCATAGTCAAATATGTTGTAAAAGCTCAGTATGCTGATATTTTAAAGGCAGTCAAAACGGCACCCGATTTTTATACCCTGTGCCCAAAGGGTACAAGGGTATATTAGTTTTGTGCGAGTGCACATGGAACACACAGAAGGAGGCTTGGTAGACCCCACAAAGTATATATATTCTTGATCAGCATGACAAGCCGAGTCGATATAGCCATGTCCGTCTGTCCGTCTGTCTGTCCGTCTGTCTGTCCGTCTGTCTGTCCGTCTGTCTGTCTGTATGAACGCAAGGATCTCCGAAAGTATAAGAGCTAGCATAACCAAACTTGGTATACAGATTCTCCTGAGACCGAGAAAGGACGAGTTTGTTCATTTTTTCTGATCCAACCCCCCACTCCCCCCCTATTCAAGATTTTCTATAACTCCCGTTATTCTTGGAATTTTAAACTAAAATTTGGTAGACACATCCAGTTAGTAATTATATATCCGTATACCAAGTTGCATTATGATAGGTTGATCAGAAAGAAAGTTATAGCCATATAACCATGCCCAATGCACACATACATACATATGTACAAGTACACAAACACGCATAGACACGATTCTGATGTAAATGTAAATGTATGTATGCATGCATGGAATATTTTATTTTTAATCTAGTTAATTGATTAAATTAATTTAGTTAATTAATTAAATTAAATTGATTAATTAATTTAATTACTTTTTTGTGGGGTGGTACAGGGTATTTAAGAGTTGAGCCTGCTCGACTTTAGCATTCCTTTCTTGTTAATCTTTAAAAGTTTTGAGCCAAAATTAATTTTCGTTCCCACACATCGTTAATCTTCTTTTTATTTAAAGTTATTGCTGAGCTCAACAGCCATTGAACCACCCTACTAGGATCAAAACCTTAGTAGCCTTTCAGCACGCTGCCTCGACACCCCTACTGTGGAACAAAGTAGTATATATCAAGGGCTTCATCACGTTACAACCAGGTGACAATAATACATACAGCTCATTGAACAGCCCACACGAAGATTCATAGTCATCTTCAGAACTACATTTACCCAAAGCCCCCAAAGGATCTAAGTGGGCGAATATACACCAATTCTCCATCAGGCAGCTATTATCCATGTAAATAAAAAACAATATCCCACTAATTATTTAGGAAAGTAATTTACAGAATCACCTCAATTGAATCTTAAAAAAAATTCGTATTATTTGCTCAATATGTTTTGGATTAGTACGTCAAAAGTAAGACTAAACAAGTAGAGAAGCTAAGGTCGGGTATCCCGACATTGATATACTCTGTACATATGTGTAGAATAATTATGCGTGTATGTGTGTGTTTGTGTGTGTCTGTGTGTGTCTGTGTATGTATCGTGTGCAGTACCAACCAATTCTCCTCTACAGAGTCTCTATATGTTTTCCCACACTCAGCAAAAATAGATCCCTTCAAAGGCAAAATAGAGTCCAACGACATGCTGAATTCACCATTCTGGGAGCTCTAAGCACCACCCCAAATGATGTTCTAGATGTCTTTCTACGAATACTCCCTATACAGCTCATGGGCATGACGTACGCTACTCTGGCATTTCTGTGCATGAGAGAAACTAAACAGTGATCAGATGAAGGCTCTGACCACTTCTGTAGGAAAATGATCTCATCCCTTCATTCACTGACTACAGCACTCCCAAGGAATATCTCCATCCTCCTTTTCAGATCATCATACCTTCTAAGAAAGAATGGACATTTGGCCCACCGTCCCCAAGAAATGTTCACTAATTGTTCCAAGCTTGACAGCAGCATCGGCGGCGGCGTCTACTGCGAAGAACTCAGCATAAAAATATCATTCAGACTTCCAGACCATTGTAAACTGGTCGGAATTGCAAAAATTTTAGCATTAAAAAAATTCAATTTGTTTTTTAATTTTTGAAAAAGTTTGAATAGCACAATAAAGAATAAAATAAGGTATCCAAGTCGTATATTGAATAATTTTTCCCATAGCCCTGGAAGTTTGTAATAGCCCTCAAAGTTAGCTGTTTTTAAATCAAAGCATTCCTGTTTTGTTGTCGTCGTACTAATATAAAAAAATTAAATAAACTCGTATAGACTGGGGACTTCATACCGAATTTAGTGAAAGTCGGCCTTAACGGTTATATGACAACTACAAGTATATGAATTATTGGCCCAAACTGAACCGAGCTTGGTATGTTGTACTTGCCTACAAACTAAATTTGAGATAAATATCTTCATTTCGAGCTTATGCCAAAGTTTGAGCAATTCCTCCCAGTGTGCATTGTAGCGTATTTCAGGCAGTAATTCTCACTATTCAGGAGGCTCTCACTACTATGCCAAGCATGGGCTCAGGCATTAAATACATCTATTCGGATAGCCAAGCAGCTATAAAATCCTTTAGTATAGTACCATCAAGTTCGAAAATAGTCGCAGATCTCTTACCGAGATGACAGCATAGTTCTCAGTCTGCAAAGCTGACGAGCTGGCAAGACAAAGTACTACTGTCCCTATCCTTCTAATATCGGTATACCGATGGCCAAAGTTTTTGCCATAAATTCGAAATATTAAGATATTTACCAAATTTAATTTGTACGTTATAGCCATATAACCATGCCCAATGCACACATACATACATATGTACAAGTACACAAACACGCATAGACACGATTCTGATGTAAATGTAAATGTATGTATGCATGCATGGAATATTTTATATTTAATCTATTTAATTGATTAAATTAATTTAGTTAATTAATTAAATTAAATTGATTAATTAATTAAATTACTTTTTTGTGGGGTGGTACAGGGTATTTAAGAGTTGAGCCTGCTCGACTTTAGCATTCCTTTCTTGTTAATCTTTAAAAGTTTTGAGCCAAAATTAATTTTCGTTCCCACACATCGTTAATCTTCTTTTTATTTAAAGTTATTGCTGAGCTCAACAGCCATTGAACCACCCTACTAGGATCAAAACCTTAGTAGCCTTTCAGCACGCTGCCTCGACACCCCTACTGTGGAACAAAGTAGTATATATCAAGGGCTTCATCACGTTACAACCAGGTGACAATAATACATACAGCTCATTGAACAGCCCACACGAAGATTCATAGTCATCTTCAGAACTACATTTACCCAAAGCCCCCAAAGGATCTAAGTGGGCGAATATACACCAATTCTCCATCAGGCAGCTATTATCCATGTAAATAAAAAACAATATCCCACTAATTTTTTAGGAAAGTAATTTACAGAATCACCTCAATTGAATCTTAAAAAAAATTCGTATTATTTCCTCAATATGTTTTGGATTAGTACGTCAAAAGTAAGACTAAACAAGTAGAGAAGCTAAGGTCGGGTATCCCGACATTGATATACTCTGTACATATGTGTAGAATAATTATGCGTGTATGTGTGTGTTTGTGTGTGTCTGTGTGTGTCTGTGTATGTATCGTGTGCAGTACCAACCAATTCTCCTCTACAGAGTCTCTATATGTTTTCCCACACTCAGCAAAAATAGATCCCTTCAAAGGCAAAATAGGGTCCAACGACATGCTGAATTCACCATTCTGGGAGCTCTAAGCACCACCCCAAATGATGTTCTAGATGTCTTTCTACGAATACTCCCTATACAGCTCATGGGCATGACGTACGCTACTCTGGCATTTCTGTGCATGAGAGAAACTAAACAGTGATCAGATGAAGGCTCTGACCACTTCTGTAGGAAAATGATCTCATCCCTTCATTCACTGACTACAGCACTCCCAAGGAATATCTCCATCCTCCTTTTCAGATCATCATACCTTCTAAGAAAGAATGGACATTTGGCCCACCGTCCCCAAGAAATGTTCACTAATTGTTCCAAGCTTGACAGCAGCATCGGCGGCGGCGTCTACTGCGAAGAACTCAGCATAAAAATATCATTCAGACTTCCAGACCATTGTAAACTGGTCGGAATTGCAAAAATTTTAGCATTAAAAAAATTCAATTTGTTTTTTAATTTTTGAAAAAGTTTGAATAGCACAATAAAGAATAAAATAAGGTATCCAAGTCGTATATTGAATAATTTTTCCCATAGCCCTGGAAGTTTGTAATAGCCCTCAAAGTTAGCTGTTTTTAAATCAAAGCATTCCTGTTTTGTTGTCGTCGTACTAATATAAAAAAATTAAATAAACTCGTATAGACTGGGGACTTCATACCGAATTTAGTGAAAGTCGGCCTTAACGGTTATATGACAACTACAAGTATATGAATTATTGGCCCAAACTGAACCGAGCTTGGTATGTTGTACTTGCCTACAAACTAAATTTGAGATAAATATCTTCATTTCGAGCTTATGCCAAAGTTTGAGCAATTCCTCCCAGTGTGCATTGTAGCGTATTTCAGGCAGTAATTCTCACTATTCAGGAGGCTCTCACTACTATGCCAAGCATGGGCTCAGGCATTAAATACATCTATTCGGATAGCCAAGCAGCTATAAAATCCTTTAGTATAGTACCATCAAGTTCGAAAATAGTCGCAGATCTCTTACCGAGATGACAGCATAGTTCTCAGTCTGCAAAGCTGACGAGCTGGCTAGACAAAGTACTACTGTCCCTATCCTTCTAATATCGGTATACCGATGGCCAAAGTTTTTGCCATAAATTCGAAATATTAAGATATTTACCAAATTTAATTTGTACGCATGTTTTTGCCCCCTTAGACGACATACCAAGTTTGGTTCAATTTGGCCCACTAATTCATATAGCTGCCAGTACCAATAAGACATATTAACCAAACTTGGTAAGTAGACGCTCCTAGTCCCTAGTATGTATGAGCTTATTTAATTTTTGAAATTCTCCCCTTTCTCGCCGCTACAGAATTTCGTCAATACTGTCCACATTTCAAAAGCTACATAAACCAAACTTTTCACACGTAACTATAAATTATTTAATTTTGTTTCAAATTTCATCCAAATTGGTATATTTTTAGAAAAGTTATAAGCGAAACAATTTCACTGTCGGGCTTGCTCGACTGTAGCGTTCTCTCTTGTTTTTGTCTTTGGAAACAGACTTATGAGCTGTTAAATCGGACCTTTTATGTCCACGATTGCAAGCTGAGAAAACTCCACTGCGAGCTGAGAAAATTTGTCCATTTGTCTGTGGAATAAACATCAACATGTAATATTTCTTCTGCGCATGGTCGGATAACGACTATATTTTCCCATAGCGCAATTGCGGCTATTTCCGGACAGACAAACGGGACTAGATCGACTCATTTTGTCATGCTGATCAAACCATCATATACTTGTACTATGGTCGTGAGCTTAACATGGCAGAATTGGAAAACGAGAGTTCGAAGCTCATGAAACGTTAGAACAGATTACCAACGACGCGATAAAAATGATATTTCGCAGCATTTACGACGGCTTCCGACAAGCCACCAAAGTGTGCAGAACGTGGTGGGATAAAGTGCCAATTAATTCCAACTGATGTAAGGGCGTTATTTAATTCGTTATTTCGGGGATCGCTAAAGAATAGCGCCCGTAGCTCATTTAGCTCATTTTTCCCCCAACATTTGCCTCTAATGCTTTTGAAACGTTTGAGAGCATCAATATACGATGGGTTCGAAAGGTCTGCCTTTGTGGTGAAGCAGATGAAAACCGAAATGTAGCATTTTCTAGGTGGCCTATTTCTGGTTTCCGCTTTGTAGTAGAAATGTCCACAGAAGTCGATCCCGTCACATCGAAAGGTCGAGTAAGCTGCATATGATCTGCAGGCGGTTGACTCATGATGTGCTCGAGCAATTTGGGCTTTAGACAAAAACATCGCACGCACTTATTGAGAATAGCAGCGACAGTTTCGCATGCTCCAATTGGCCAAAATCTCAGCCGAAGGGTATCAAGCAGGTTTTGTGGACCAGCATATAGAGACTTGTGGTGGAAGAACATGACGATTGCATCATAATCCAAGTCAGCGTTGTTATTGCGCCCACCAACACGCATAAGTCCAGAGTTATCAATACTTGGGTGGAGCGACAGCAATCTGCTTTTCGATGCGAGGCAATCCTTGATTGTGGGCGATATAAAGCGATGTACATAGCCAAAGGTGTACATTGCCAAAGGAATTTTGGTATTTGCAGCCAAAATAAATATCCAGTTGCTAGGATGCGATCAAGACCTTGCGATGGCGTTCCGGTAAATCCAATATAGGTGGCGCGCATGTTGGCCAGTCAGAAGTATGAGAACGCAGAAAAGCTGGTCCGTTATCCAAAGACTTGATCCTGCTTCCTCATGAGGTGTGCATCCGCAAGATAGGATAATAGGTGGGTTCATCTCTGATGGCACGTGATGACAAATCATTCTTTTGTCAGCTCCTGGATTTGTGCAACTCTGTTGGAGATAAAAACATGAAAATTTGAAGGTGATTCTCGTATCCAGGAGAATGAAATAGTTGAGCCAGACCAACAGTGCACTTTATGTTCAAATGCAATGGATTGAGTAATGCTAGCGAGCAACTCAGCCAATAAGTACGCTGCTGTTCACTCCAGCTTCTGTTCTGCTCCGATCGTTCGTAGATGCAGGCACCGAATGCTGATATGCTGGCGTCATAAAATCCTTGCATTTCCCACTTAGCTTTGGCCAACAACACGAAGCGGGGAAATTTGATTGACGTCACGAATGAGATTTGCGTTGTAAGCTCCAACGATATGGAGCGCAGGGATTGCGGCAAACTCTCGTCCCAGGCGAGCTTTTCCTTCCACAAGGAGGAATATCTTCAGCCGGTTGATTATTGACGATATTAAACCAAGTGGGTCGTAGATTCTGGCCATAACGGTAGTGTTGGTGAATTTGGGATACGTCCTCTATGGTGTCGCCTCCAAAAATCAAGTCGTCGACGTAGAAATTTCTGCAAACAATTTTGGCCTCCATTGGAAATTTGGGCTAAAAATGCTGCTGGCTTTGTGCCGTAGGTTACGGTGTTAACGTATAAGCCTTAATTTCTTCAGATGGACTGTGCCGCCATAAGATGCATTGTAGATACTGATTTTTTTTTTCTTTTAAGTATACATTTAAATCTTTAATTACAATATGCTTGCTTGTTTGGTGTTGTGTTTCTGTTTTGGGTTCTATGCTATGTGGTTATTGTTTGGGCTATGTGTGTAACAGAAAATTGTTGTTTAGTGTGTTGTATTGTATTGTTATGCGACCTGTACATGAAGGGTGTGTAATATAAAATACAAAAATTTCCTTCTGTGTGGTATATTTGAGTTTGGTGTATATGAATGGACTAGCATGTATTGCCCGTCTTAACCCGGCTCAATATAATATTTCCAATTGTATTTATTTTGTGTGTGCATAACCTACCCATATGTTTTCACCTTATAAGTTACCAGTAGGAAGGCATTTAAGGTATTTAAATGAACATTTTCTGTCCTTCACAAAAAATTGTTCAGTAGTCCGTTACATTTTTGTTTTTGCCAAACTATTTCGTTACACGAACATGACCACTGTAACTTATATTTTTTAAAGCTCGTTTTCCCCCCTTTAGGGCTAGAATTTTCCAAAAGCCTTTCTTAGTGTGCTCCTACACTATGATGGATACTATGAAAGGATACTTGAGTCTAAATTTCATCTTTTACCGTTGGGCTGTGCGTTGATCACCAATTAGTCAGGACAAACTGTTTTATATATAGAGATTACGCAACGTTTTAAGATAGACTATGTGCAAAAAAGGGGAATAATTATAAGGGTATATCCTAATTTTAAATTCACATTTGAGTCTTTTTTGGTGCCATATTGAGTCAATACGGTCACGCACAAACTCGGAACAATTCTGACAATTCTCATCTCAATTTGCTAGAGTAAAACTTTCGATAGTTGAAGCCACCGATACCATCAAAATATCGAAGTTTGAATCCAATAAGCAGAATATTTAAATAATAAAATCTAATTATTTATTGAGATCAATAAGAACAAATCATATACATACATACATCTGCCCGCAATGCGAAGCAGAATATGCGTAGCTCCGTTATTCGGTTTCTGCTTTACTATCGCTTCTTAGTGCTCACCTACACCACTGAAGACAACATGTGTCCAATTTTCAGCCTCCTAGCTCTTACCGTTTGGGCTGTGCGTTGATTGCAAATAGGTTTTCGTTTACCGAATTTTCCACCGCAAAATCATTATTATTCAGGCCACAGGAAAATTATTGAAAATTATATTGAAAGTATACAGTTTTTTTTGTATTCTTTGTGAGAGTATACAAACTAGTTTTGAAGTTAATTGGATAAAAATTGTAGATTTTTCATACAAACGTTGGAGCTTGTTTTCCCCCCTTTGGAGCTCGAATTTTCCGAAACCCCTTCTTAGTGCTCACTTTCACTATATGAGGGATCTTGTGTCCAAATTTCAGCTTCCTAGCTCTTACCGTTTGGGCTGTGCGTTGATTGCCAATCAGTCAGTCAGTCAGGACAAACTGTTTTATACTATATAAATAGAGATTATGTATGTGTAGGCTGTATATAATTTTGGTGTTTGTTTGAATTGTATATATGTGTGGGCTTATGGAGTGGATATATATGAGTGTGTGATGTATATAACTTCTGTGGTGTGTGTTTAAATGGATTATGTGCGTGTGGGCTGTATATAAATTTTGTGTATGTGTTTAAATTGGGCTATGAAAATGACGGATATATGTGTGTGGGCTGTATATAAATGTTGGTGTTTTGTTTGAAAAGAATATGTATATGTGTATAGATGTATGCAAGCTGGTAGTCGTAGGGGTACTTAGCCCGAGTCCAAAAGAGCACCGCTGGCTGGAATCAAATTAAAGCTGAGGCCCCGTGCAGAATGATGCGTCGCCGGCCGGTGTTGGCGCTGTCGTCTGCCGTGGCTACAATGAAGCCCACCTGCATCCAGGCTACGCTCGTTGCCCACGCCGCCCACAGCCCAATCTTCAGGCCCGCCCGTCGCTACGGTTGCCGATCGCCTACCATGCGTAACAATACGTTATTTTCTGGCATAGCTCTTTTCCGACTGACTTACCTCAGCCTAGATCTTCCCAAAGATATACTTCCTCGTCCTCTCCTTGTCCACCAGCTATTCCCCCGTTCTAAATCTTCCACTTTGCTTCCTTTTCTTCTTTATTTTCCTGTGTACGTTCCAACTACCACGTGTACGTCCCTTTGTCACTTTCCAAACTGTGCCTTTGCCCTTGCCGGAAGCTACTACTTGTCATTCTCAAGGAACCGATAACCTCTGTTATCCCGATTCCCGATGCTACCTCACACTTTCTAACCCTGCTAAATGGTAGCACTTGTCCTCGCACCTCACGCACGATTACTCGGTGTTGGTATCGGCGCGCGCCAGCTGTTAATTGCGCGAGTTGCCATCCCATTCGTCTGACACCATTTGAGGTTTCCCAATACTGACGCGTCGCACATAACAGCACACTCCGGTTTATTTTTGAGCCAACCGAAAAAACGGGAGTGGAAAACGACGCGGTTCCTTTTCTGCCCAACGTAGGACAACGCCCACACCCTGAGATGGGTCTCTCAGTCTGCCGACGAACAAAGCCGGGCCTTCACTACTGCTTCAAATCCTTGGCGTGGAAGACTCCCAGCCGACGCCCGTGCATGTCTTCCAATTCGTATATGCTGTTGCCCACGCTGCTCCTGATATGGCATTTTATATATTTATGGCATAACTTCGCATTCACGCTGTCCTTAAATCGGCTGATGACAAAGTTTCGCCGGTAAACCTCCTGGCCAGGTACGTACGTCACATTCCTTGCCCGTCTATCGTACTGCCGTTTTGCCTTCTCGTACGTTAGGTGGGCACTCTGCTGTACTTCATCCCGCACCGCCTGTTGCCGATCAGGTCTGGGCAACATGCGCAATTCTGCATCCTCCAGGGCTTGCGTGCCAGTTTGTAATCCCTGCCGCTTGTAAACATGTGTTGTCCAAACAAAACAAAATACGGAGACGTGCCAATGCTGTTATGGACGGCACTACGTGCTGCACACTGAACATCCCAGAGCTTCTCGTCCCACTTCGTGTGGTCGTCTTGCACATAAGTCCTGATGGCCGCTAACACCGGCTGGTTCACGCGCTCCGCCGCATTCTTTTGTGGGGAATAGTTCGCCGTGCGTACGTGGGTACTGCTCAGCCTCTGCAGGAACCCCTTAAACTGGCTGGACACAAACTGCTTCCCATTGTCGGTATGAATGGTTTCAGGGACTCCGAATGCTGAAAACACCTCCTCTTGCAGAAACTGGACCACCGCCGCCGCCGTTGCTTTTGGCATTGCTCGTAACCAAACGAATTTGGACATATGGTCCAGAACTACTAGAATGGTGGTATTCCCTCTCCTGGACCTCGGATACGGCCCCAGAAAGTCCAGATACAGCCTCTGCATTGGTCGGAGCGATATGGTTTCGGCGCCCATTACCGGCCTCGCTAATTGCGTGCTGTGTTTCGTCGCTTTGCACGTTTCGCAACCGGCCACGTACTTCTTCACCTGTGCCACCATCCCGGGCCAGAAGAAAAACTGCCTGAGCCGTTCAATGGTCCTCTTCATCCCCCCATGCATGGCCGCGTCGCTCTCGTGGGCCTGCTGTATAAGGGCTGCGGACACAGGACGCGGTACCCAGAGCTTCCAGGAAAATTCCTCTCGCTCGGGCCGCGTGAACTGCGCCCGCTTATACAGCAGCCCATCCTCCACGCGTAAATCCGGAAATAGCTCCGCGTTCTCCCGCACTTGCTTCAGCCGCTCAGTATACTCCGCACTTTCGAACTCAGTTGTCTCGAAATCAAAAAAATCTCTTCCTCCAGTTCGAAAGTCCGCGAGAGTGTATCGGCTACAATATTGTCCTTGCCTTTCCGATGCTCAATACTAAAGTCGAACCTTTGCAGGGCCAACGACCACCGCGCTAATCGGCCGCGCAACTCCTTCAACAACATCAGCCACCGCAGGCTGGCGTGATCAGTCACCACTTTAAACGGCATCAACTCCACATACGGCCGGAACATCTCGACCGCTTTCAACGCAGCCAGGCACTCCTTCTCGGTGACGCTGTAGTTCAGTTGAGCGCCCCGAATCTTCGCCGAAAAAAAGCTATTGGCCTTTCCGCACCATCTGTACCGTGCTGGAACAACACAGCTCCTACGCCCGCATGGCTCGCTTCGCACTGGATCACGAACGGCTTCCGAAAGTCTGGATGCACCAACATCGGCGCACAGATGAGTGCCCTTTTCAATTCCTGAAATGCCGCAGCCGCTTCGCCCGTAAATTGAAACTTCCCTTTTCCTTTCAGGCAGTCTGTCAACGGCGCGGAAAAATTCCGGACGAAGCGCCTATACCAGCCCGTGGTTCCCAAGAATCGACGGAGCTGCTTAGCGCCGGTCAGCAAGGAAATTCCCGAATCGCCTCGACCTTCTCTGGGTCTGTCCGCAACACACCATCGCCAACTATAAACCCCAAATACTTCAGATACCTATTATAGCAGAACTTTGATTTTTTCAAGGAGATCGTCAAGTTGGCTGCTTTCAAGGCACTCGCCACGTCCAACAGCACCCTGCAATGCTCCTCAAATGTCCCGGATATGATGAGCAGGTCGTCCAGGTAGAAGAAAACGTGGTTCCTCAAACGCTGGGGAATCACCTTATCCATCACGCGGCAAAGGCGCTGCGCCGCATTGCACAGCCCAAACGACATGGCCTTAAACTGGTACAACGGCCTTCCTGGTACGGTAAACGTGGTATACTGCCGGCTTTCCCGATCCAGTTCGATCTGCCAAAACGCATGCTTCACATCCAGGCTGCTGATGTAAACTGTGTCCTCCACTCGGCTCAAAATCGATTCAATGCTCTGGAGTGGGTAAGCATCCTTCACCGTGAGCTGATTCAGTTTTCTCGCGTCTAAACATAACCGGTTCTTTTCAGGCTTCTTTACCAAAGTCACTCAGTTGCTCCATGGACTCTCACTTGGCTCAATCACCCCTAGCCGAAGCATCTCGTCGACTTCTGCAAACAACAGCGTCTGCACTGCTGGCGACACTGGATAAAAGCGCTCTTTTACTGGCAGTGCTCCCTCTGCCAACTGAATGTGGTGCTGCTCCACGGGCGTCCTACCCAGACCATGCTCCTCGAAGGACCTGAATTGGGCCATGACTCGCTGTAGCTCCTCCTGTTGCCCCGCCTCTAACTTATGCGGCTCCGTGGGTGAGCTCTTTCCCAAATGCTCCTCATCCAACTCAGCTACGTGATGTTCTTCGTTTTCTGCCGGGATCACATCCGGAGCCAAACCGAACCTGCACCAAAAATCCACGCCTAGATAAAGTGGTTGGCATAACGATGGGCAAACGTGGAATACCATGTCCGACTCTGTTCCGCTATACTGCACGCGGGTCTTAACGCTGCCGATGATGCGATGCGGCGCGCCTTCAGCGGTTTTTACAGAGGATCTGGTTTCGTGAACTACCAGCCCTAGGTCTTGCACTGCTTCCATGGCACCAGCACCCAGCAGACTTACCGACGCCCCAGTGTCCAACAAACCAGTAAATTCCCGCCCCGCGATCACGACCACGGCGTAGGGACGACTATCCGCGCGACCCCCTGCCGTACCCGCTCATGGCTGGCCGCTGCATCTGCGCGTGACCTCTGTCTGGTATCCCCATCGGCGCGCTATGTGTCTTCTCCTGCCTCAGCGCCGCCACTGCCTCGTTGATCTCCCGCAAAAAGGACAACATACTGGCCTGCATGGTGTCTCGTATGGACTGCACCTCGGATGCCAGCGACGCGCGATATGTTTCATGCGCCTGTGCCAAAGCCACGTTGATCGCAGACCGTATTTCACTTGGCAGCGCGGACTCGGCTGTCCTTGTTCACCACTGCTGCGTTCTTGTGCGTGCGCATCGACTGCCGCCCCGGAATTGTTCGGCAACTCATCCACAAATACTCTGAACGCTGCTCCGCCTACGCTTGGCGGCGACGCGTCATCGATGAGCGCCTCGGCTGGTTTATCCACCTCACTCAATCCTGCGTAAGGAGGCGAGTCCAAGTGCACCAACTGCCTATGTCTGCTGTACTCCTGGCTACGCCTAACTTTCCGGGTTACATTCGGATCTAAATTCATCGTAAGCTACTACCCCTAAACGGGTTGCCCAAATATGCGCAGAGGTCGCACATGCCGACAGTATCCAAATATATATGTATACTCTATTATAACCAGGTAGGGCTTTATGCTAGAAATCCTTCTAAACCAAACAATACGCGAATAAATAAACCGACCTGTGTACGCGTATGTGTCTCTAAATGGGCAGCGGGGATAATATACTCCCGCCGCTATATACCCACTATATAACCGCAACACCAGCTTTCCTACATAAAATAATTAAATATACAAGTATATGCAAATACCAAAAAAGAAAACCACAAATAACAAAGAAAATGGGAATAAGTAAATACAAAAACATAAATGCACTCCACACGCAAAAACATCCAATAAATAAATAAATCGTGAATCTAATACACGCCTCCGGCAAAACCAAAAAAAAACTTAGACTAACAAAAAATAAATAAATATATAAGTGCCACACGCAAAAATATGGGGATACATAAGTAGAATAATAATAAATATACGTCACCGAGTTCAACGAATCAATAAATACATTCAATTTAACCAAGCACGTATCCTCTACCTAACAGAATACATACCTAAACCGAAATACCAAGAAAACCCTTATATAAATACAATAAACTTCAAATTCCCGCCCTACGCACAGACTCGCCAATCTGTGCCAAAATACCCTACCGATACTTATGAATATCGATGGCTCAGCCCAGGGACAGCTGTGCTAGACCGGTACCATTCGCAATGGACTTCTTGTCTATTGACACTTATTTGCTGCTACGCAAATAAATAAATAAAAGGTAATTAATACACTAACTGACTATAAGACCATTAAAAAAAAAACAGACTCTCACAATTACAGACTCAACAACCAGACATTTAAGGGTGAGATGGGGATCCTCCGTATGACGCTGCACCACGGAACGCTGTCACTGCAGAAGGTAAACAACCAAAACAAACATCTAATTATCGCACGCTTTATACCACCAAATTTCTTCCAGGCGCCTACCAAAACTCAAATCCTGCTTGGGCTATGGCGAATTCCTGCTCCCATGCTCTGCTACGTAGGGCAACGATGCTCCTTCCGCTTGAGACAGGACCTGGAACTACTACGCAGCAACACACAAGAACTCATACCAAACAAAAAAAACAAGGCAACTAATTTATTCTTTACTTAACATTAAACAGACATCCCTATCTCGATCTCTTTGGCTCTGGGACACCCTGTAGGGCACTACCGCGCTGTAAACAAAAAAACAAAAAAAGAAAAACAAGACTGGCTTTTCTCCTTCGCTTCTGACTGGGGCAACCTTTGCTAAAACGTATACCCAGGTGTATTTCGTTGGATCTTTTCGCTAGATCTTCCCAAAGATATACTTCCTCGTCCTCTCCTTGTCCACCAGCTATTCCCCCGTTCTAAATCTTCCACTTTGCTTCCTTTTCTTCTTTTTTTCCTGTGTACGTTCCAACTACCACGTGTACGTCCCTTTGTCACTTCCCAAACTGTGCCTTTGCCCTTGCCGGAAGCTACTACTTGTCATTCTCAAGGAACCGATAACCTCTGTTATCCCGATTCCCGATGCTACCTCACACTTTCTAACCCTGCTAAATGGTAGCACTTGTCCTCGCACCTCACGCACGATTACTCGGTGTTGGTATCGGCGCGCGTCAGCTGTTAATTGCGCGAGTTGCCATCCCCTTCGTCTGACGCCATTTGAGGTTTCCCAATACTGACGGGTCGCACATAACAAGTTATACAAAAAAACATAAATAGCGGGGGAGTGGGGGTGTGTTAGAATAAAAAAAACAAACCTGATCTGCCTAGGACTTGATACCAAGTTTGGTTATTCTAGCTCTTGTACTTCCTGAGATCCTTGCACTCGTCCAGACGAACGGACGGACGGACATGGCTATATCGACTTGTCTTGTCATCCTGATCAAAGATATATATACTTTGTGAGGTCTGCCACGCCACCTTCTGTGTGTTACATACATTCGCACAAAACTAGTATACCCTTTCACCCTTTGGGTACAGGGAATAAAAATCTAAAATGAAGGAGTGTGATGAGTATTTTTGGCTGTATTGAAAGGCCCGCTAATAACAAGTGGTTGAATGAAGCGCCTGATGTTGTTTTAGCAGATCTATCAAAGACAACGCGCAGTTTGTTTGATGTGCTATCCAACTTTTGGACACAGTGATGCGGTAAAAAATATTGAAGAATATTTGATTGCTTAGAAGCCAACGACATATGGGACAAGTCTATATATTCCTGCATAAATGCCGAAGATTGCGATTTTACGGATGGAATTTTATTAAGATTTGCTTCAAGTATCTGGTGCATTCCCGTATATTAATGTATGCCGATGATGTAAAGTTAATTTTTTCGTATAAAGATCCTCTTTATCACTCTTGTCTGCAGTACGGTATAAACCTTTTTCAATGGTGGTGTTTGATCAACTACCTGTTAACTGTTCTGAATGCAAGTTTATGACTTTTCACCGGACCAGACCACATATAGGTACTTATGCGATTGACAATATACCATAGCAACGTATATTTACAGTTGAAGATCTTGGAGTTATTTTTGATCCCAAATTGAATTTCAATCTTCACATATTCACTATCTAGAGAATTAAACGACCCCTGCACCACCATGGTACTTTACAGTTCTCTTGTACGGACAGAGCTAGAATACTGCTCATGTGTTTGGTGTCCTCAGTATAAATTGCATCAGGATCGCATTGATTCGGTCCAGAAACAATTTCTTCTTTTTGCTCTTCGTGTTCTAAACTGGGATCCTAATCTACGATTACCATCCTACTCCAGTAAACTTCTCCTAATTAACCTGTCTTCTTTAGCTCACGGTAGGATAGTTCTTGGTGTACTGTTCCTCCACAAATTGATTGTCGGAGATGGATAAAATTGCAATACATAATATACTTATACTAGCAGGTATTGCCCGTCTTAACATGGCTCAATATAATGTTTCCAATTGTTTTTTTTTTTGTGTGTGTGTTTTCACCTTATTATTTACCATTAGGATGGCATTTAAGGTATTTTTATGAACATTTTCTGTTCTAGACAAAAAATTGTTCAGTAGTCCGTTACATTTTTTTTCTTGCCAAAATAGTTCGTTAAACGTACACACACATGACCACTATAACTAATATTTTTTTAAGCTCGTTTCCCCCTCTTTGGAACTCGAATTTTCCAAAAGCCTTTCTTAGTGCGCACGTATACTATGATGGATACTATGAAAGGATACTTGAGCCCGAATTTCAGCTTCGTAGCTTTTACCGTTTGGGTTGTGCGTTGATCACCAATCAGTTGGGACAAACTGTTTGATATATGAAGAGCTAACGCATCGTTTTAAGATAGACTATGTACAAAAAAGGGGAATAATTATAAGAGTATATCCTAATTTTAAATTCACATTTCTGTCTTTTCGTGCCTTATTGAATCAATACGATCACGCACGAACTCGGAATATGAAACACGGCACTCGCTGGAGTGAAACTTTCGATAGTTGAATCCACCGATACTATAGATATCGATACATCTAACGTTGAATGCAATTTGCTGGAGTAAAACTTTCGATAGTATAATCACTAACCATATGTTGTATGGTTAGTGGTAGAGCTGCAAAATGAATCGATGCAGAATCGATTTAATCGATGTTTAGCATTTTTGTTAAGCATCGATTTTATTTGTTGAGAATCGATAAATCGTGTAAATTTAAATGAACGCATTTGTTTGAAGGTGACGCTGAGTGGCTAAGCGGTAAAAGTAAGTAAATTTAATAATTGCCAAATAAATCAAAACATTACATTTTCTTTTATATTTTTGATTAGATTGGTGTGTTGGTGGCTTGGTGAAGAGGACGGAAACGGATTAATGGATAAATTTTTGAAATCAGGTAAGAATTTATGCCTCATTTAGTTAAGCAGTGAGGGGCACGCCGACATGTGACATATGTATGTATTTACAAGTATATATGTACACGTATATTTTATGCGCAAAACTGCACACATTTTTGTATATACATATGTGCAACGAAATGATTGTTACGCATGATTTTTGTTTTCTGTGCACATAAACGCAGCTTTTTTGCACACATTTTTGTATATACATATGTGCAAAATAAATATGATTGTTACGCATGATTTTTGTTTTCTGTGCACATAAACGCAGCTTAGTTTTAATTAATTATTGCATTATTGTGTGTGTACTATTTACATTGATATATTTTTGTATGTAAACCCTT